AGCTATTTATGCATTCTCTATGTTTAAATATGCAATATTAAAATTGTATGTATACATATAAAATATAATGTGTGTATATATATATATATATATGTACACATGTATAAATATGTAATATCAATATATGAAATCTCATCATAAAAGTAATTTTAATTTATGAAAATGATCGTTTTCTAAAAGAAAGCAAGGCAGAAATCAATTTATGATTAATATAAATCGAAAATGTTCAAAAAGTCCCCTCATTTACTACGCTTTTCAAGAGTGATTTTTGTCCTTTTATCTTTGTCCAATTGTTTTATCCTCTCGAATTATTTTCTAAAGAAGAGATACAAAGTTTTTTTTATTCCTGCACTAGACTTTCTCTCACTTTCGCCAAATATCAAATATAAATCTATAGGATCTATTTTACTCAAATTCCAAAGTACATTATTAGTTCAAATATAAAAACATGGTTCCGTTTGTTTCTTTTTCTATATCGCAATCTTGTTCAAAAAATGTGAACGAAAACCGGAATCGTAATCTCTTTCAAAAATTACATTCTCTCTCTTCTCTTATAATTAATTCTTATAAAAATATATGTTTCTATTATTATAACAACTTTATCAAAAAAATGCATTCGCACCGCTCCTAGATATTTTCGCTCCCTCTGGGACTGCATTTCCGAACCAATCGACAGCGATAACGAAAACAAAAAAAAAGGAAAATAACAAAAACATTTCGCGCCGTCGTACCGTGCGATGTACGCGCGCATATATATCGTTGTGGCCCATTTAACTCGCGACGAAACGGAACACGCCCATTCCGCGCTTATGCAATTGTAAACTGATTGTAAACGTCGTGCAATCATTGCCGACGACGTCTTCTCCGCGACGCGTGTATCACTTGTGTGGGTACACGCGACGTCGCGTTTTTCGCGACTAGCATCACGCACAGCATTATAAGCGTCCCCCAGCCATCGGAATCATCAGATAAGGATTGCCGCGCGAGCTGACAACTACGGCGCTCCTCAAGAATTCTTTTCCTCTTGTCTTCTTTTCTCGCGCGGAAAGTAATTCGGCGTGAGCGCTCGATAGTGCAGTAAAAATAATAAGTCATTCAATGGTTAACCAAATACCTGTGCCGCAGGCCAAATATGAATTATTAACTAACATACGACAGTGAGTACATCGAAAGTTTCTGCGAAATGAAAGCGCTCGGAACGCGAATGCGTCGCCTTTCGGAGCTGCTTTTATAGTCATTTTATAATTAATACATGCGAGAGAGAGAGAGAGAGAGAGAGAGAGAAGGGGGGGGGGAGAGAGATAAAGGAAATTTGTATCGATTTCTCGCGCTATGACAAGCAATATGTACGTCATCGCTGGCTTTTAAACTTCCCCGCCTCTCAACGCGAAAGGTCATACTTGTCGTTATTTGTATACGCGACTAGACTGATAGATTTTCCATAGCCGTCTTATATGTAGATTGAATACGAAACAAAAACTGCTTTCAGACCACGCTGGAGAACGCAGGTCGTTTGCCTTACTTTGTCATTCCTGATTGTCGGAGTGTTGTTTATCACACGCGCTTGGTTCGGCATACTCCTACTAAAATCTCCGAGGACCAACAGATTCGTCGAGGAACACATTGACGATGCCAAGATTGCTACGTGGCTACGTCGGGCTCGGATGTACGCCGAATCGACGAAGGAGAATCAGAATGCGGACAGGAACACAAGTGTCAGCGCATCGGAACAACACCGCCACGATACAAACGGGTAAAAGACTCTCTGAACAGATATGATATTTTTTATCCATTTTAGATTTATATTTATCTAATAAGCAGAATATATTAACATTGTGCTAGCAGTTGTATCATTCAGAATACTGCATCAATTGCGTCTATGTTGAAATTATGTTCTGCAAGCAGTTTATCAACATGGAATATGATCCACTTGATGCTGCAAATGCTTTAAAGCATTCTTTGATTCGTCACTTTGTAAAATTCTTTCTTCTAATTAGTCAACGAAGCATTTGCAGCATTAATTGATTTATATTCCTAATCTGACAGCAGAAATTATTAAGAATGTTTTTTAGTTTACTAATAAATATTTTAAGTTTTTTGTCATTATTTTACATTTCTGAGAAATATGCCCCATGAGGAGCTAGGATATTTAAAATTAGAACGGAGCTGATTGATTGAATCTACTATTTCACTTTTCTAATTTCATTTTCCGATTCCATTTTCGGTGTCCGGGACGGCACTCTCTCAAATATTATATATATAACATCTAACTATGAATATCAGTTTTAATTTTTTTATATGAGTACTTTAAATATGTAAAATGATTTATATAAAATTTCATTATAATGCAGAGATTAGTTATTAATAATGAAAATAAATAAATAAATAAACAAAGTTTATTTATTTCTATTAGAGCATAGGTAAAAAATATTAATTTTTATTAAAATAATGTTTTATCCAAGTCCTAAATCACAGCTGAATTTTTATTTTTAAATGGTATCTAGAATAATCTGTAATTTTTCCATTATTTTAAAATTTTGTGTAATACATCTTTAATTATTCTACTGAGTTTTTCTACATAAATAATTTTAAATACTCTTATAATACTTATACAAAAAATTGAGACTTGTCAATATTTTTTAAATTCTAATATTAGAAAATAACAAATAAAAGAAATAAATTATACCACGTCCAGAAAATGACTATGAGTCACACATTTTATGATCAGATTAGAAGATTTGAGCACGTTATTTACTTCCGCATGCATTATTGTTATATCCTTGGACAGCCCAAAACAATAATGCATGCGGAACTAAATAATGCATTTAAGTCCTCCAATCTGATAACAATGTGTTACATAAAAATGTTTAAAAACAAACTATGTTACATAAAAGTGTTTAAAAACAAAATGTTTTAAATATTATACAACTAACTAAAAATTATACAACTTTTGTATATATAGTTTATTTTTATTG